TGAATATTCAAATTAGGGGTGTAAACGAGCGGGTACGGGCCACTTGTGGCCATACCCGTTACCCGCCCGTTTATGAGTAAACAAGTGGCCACCCGCCTGTACCCGCTTATACCCGTTTTAATGGGTATGAGCGGGTCTGGGCCACCCATTTACTTACAACATCTTTTTTTTTTTAAAAAAAAAGGAAAGAATTAAAACATATGATTTTTATCCCACTATAACTTAACATAAGTACTTAAGTAGTATCATTCTAAAAGTTTAAATCTCTGAATAATACAAGGACAAATATTTTAACAGCAAATACTAAATAAACAAGGATCAATAATTTTAATTTTTAAAGTGAAAACCCATTTAGTCTCATCAATTCTCATTTATCTTCTTTGGAGTCACTTGATACAATAGAAGATTGAGCTATTGACTCTTCCTCTACAAGACAAATTAAGACAATTAGATTAGTAAATAATAATATATTATACATAATATGGAGAATTAAAATGAATATAAATAAAATAATTTATTCATATTATTATTATCATTAATAACACGTAAAGTCTTATCAAAATAGTCAATATAAATCTCTTTTAATGGGGTGCATAATGTTGATGATAGCCAATTCTGGGTGCAAATGATTGCCTTGGCCATTTTTGAAGATAAAGAACTCCTGAAAGTATTTATTACTCGACCCTCAATATTAAAAGCAGATTTCAAAGACACTGTGGAGACAGGCATGGCCAACAAATCACGTGCAATCAAGCCTAAAATTTTATACTTGGAAGAATTCACTTTCCACCATGCCAAAATGTCAAAACTATCATCACAAGCATCAACTAACTTTGCACTTAAGTATTCTTTCACCTCTGAAATTGGTTTTTTTGGACGCTTACTCATTGCAATGGCTAAGAAACCTTGCATTGCCACATCAATAATTTTTTTAGAAGATGGACGAGATTGCTTCCCCCCACTACTGGCACTGCTATCCCCCACCTCTGTGCCAATTTCCCCATAATCTTCTTTTTCATCATTTCCCTCTTTGTATAATCACTAATAAAATGTTTAAAAGCAACTTCAACATAAGAAAATTTATATCTAGGATCAAAAATCACAGCTATCACCAATAATGGATTCATATTTTCTGCCTTTCCCCTGTACTTGTCCTACTTACTTTGCATTCTTTCTACCATGTCACTCAACAAAGAATTAGATTTAGCTACAATTGAATCCAATTGTGTCTTGATTGCAACTATATTTTGAAAGCATGTGTTTGATGTGACATAATTTGATCTAAAAAATTAAAGAGTCATAGTATAAAACAACTACAAAAAGGTGAAAAATTTATTTGCCACACTCCAGTCATAGGCATTAGGAGGTTTAACTGTACCTTCATCACTATCATGATCACCAAGTTCATCTTCATCCTCCTCTTCCATCCTATCAACATAGCTTGAGCTGGAAGACAGTTTAACTTTCTTTTTGAAGTAGTTCTTGTAATCTTGATCCTCATCCTCCATTCTATCAAAGACCTTAGTGAACTTAACGGCATTTTGCAACATGATGTATGTTGAATTCCGCCTATTAAGATAAGCAAAATATTTAAATGTTAGAAAAAATTGCATATCATAATGCAAATAATCATAATTTAACAATTATGTAAATTACTTGGTGGGACAATCCATGCTAAAAAGACTCTTTAAATCAATTCTCAATTTCTTAACAAGCTCCTTAAATTTTTTAAGCCTACCAGGAGAAGATCTAACAAACTTGGTTGCATGCCGAATAAGTTCAATAGATTGATTCATATCTTTAAGGCCTTCTGAAACAATTAAATTCAAAATATGAGCAACACACCGCATTTGCAAGAATTCTCCATCACACACTAAACCTCCCAAATCCTTCAAATGCTTTTCTAAAAACACAATAGCATAATCATTGGAAGAAGCATTATCAACTGTAATTGCAAATACTTTTCTCAATACCCTAATAGAATAAGCATCCCCCAATTTCATTGCCAATGATATCCCCTTTATGGTTTTCCACCACACAAAAATTCAAAATTCATTTCTGTAATATCCATTTCTCATCAATCAAATAAGCTGTCAGACATATGCAGTTGGAATTTTGAATTGAATTCCAACAATTTGTGGTGAGTGACACACGAACTTTAGATTTCTTAAAATATCTTTTCAAATGTTTCGCTTCTTCTAAATATATCTTGCAGCACCACTTAGCCATAGTGGTGTGAGAGGGGCATGTAAATCTCGGTTCAAGCACTTCCAACATCTTTTTAAAACCTTGCCCCTCCACAACTCAAAATGGCATCTCATCTAAAATGATGAATTCAGCAACTGATTTTTTACACCATTCTACATTATACGAGCGATGAGTCATTGATTTACCAAAGGAAGCAAAGAGTAAGGATTGTCCCGCCTTGGCTTTGTTTGAATTCTTTAGGCAAGAATCAAAATGCCACCAAAGGTTCTTAGTCCCGATTTTAGAAGAATGGCCAGCAAAATCCTTTCCACAATAGTTTCATTTGGCCTGATGCTCACCTTTTTTTGTTTATAAACTTCTCAAAATGATTCCACATTTCAAACATTGTGATCCTTTTACGTTTGGAGGCTAGTGCTTCTTTAGCTTGGGTAGATTTAGACTTAATGGGTACTGTGACGGTGGTAGTAGTTTTAGGTTCATGGTCCCCTTCTATAGCTTGCACATTTTCCATAGTGAATGTTAAAATAAAAACTATATAACAACCAAAACAAACCAATTATAGACATATTTAATATTAGGTGCAGCACGTTAACAATCACACACAATACAAATACAATTACCAACAAGCCTTAGGAAATGGACAATGTCTTGTGGGAAAGACTAAAGAGTCTCGACAGACTTCAACATTAAAAAAAATGCCACCTACAGTAAATTAAAGCAAATGTAGAAGTTTGTTTATGAATTTTCAATAAACTAAATCTATCTAAGAATTTGTTTAAAATATAGAACTTTGTTTGCTATCAGTGAGAATTATAGGCAGATCAAAGTACCGAACCAATAACAGCCAGCCAGAAAAATTAAACAATGTGATCAATATGACTAAAGAATCATGAATATTCTAAACACTCAAACATGCCTATAAATTTAAAATTCAATATAACCACAGACCCGAACTAGAGAGCTAAATCAAAAAGTTCAAACCAAATTACCAACATAATATAATCGGAGTTCAGACTAAAATTTAATGTGATTAGTGTATCAATCACCCAAAAGTTCAGACCAAATTACCAATAAAATATAATCGGAGAGCCGAAGAAGAGGACAAGAATGCACAAATATAACCAAAGAGGAGAAAATGAGATCAGTGAATGCAAAATAGTGAACGGTCGAACGCTGTAGTGCTGTATAGTAAAGCTGAAGTGAAATCCCAAAGTTTGGCACACTACTCTCAATACTCAGAGAAGCTGAAATCCTGAACAAACGTCACTCGACTAGCTGTGAAAACTAAAAATGCAACAGCATGTTAAAATAAAGAAAACTTAAAATTTTAAACTTGAGATTATAAGCCATCAACCCATCACACTCACCGACTGATGCGAAGTCACGAACAAAGGAGGAGAGACAGCCAATTAGTAGGATGGAAGCTGGGCAAAGGCGATTGGTTGTGGCTGGCGTGGCTACTGGTGAAAGAAAACAGCAAACCAAAGGATGAGAAGTGAAGTGCCAGAGGATGAGAGGATCAACTCGCACTTCGCAGCTTGGCAGTCGGCAGTTGCATATTGAGAGGACCTATTTAGGGCACAACTGAGAGTGAGACTCTCACTATCTCACACACCGACACAGTTGAGAGGACGGGCATCACGAATTCACGGGTCACGATAGAGGCTAAAATAGAGTTGAGCTTATTAGTACATAGTTCATGCCTTCACGGGTAACAAGTTAAAACCGAACAGCTTGGGTCTTTTTTTTTTGGAAAACAACCCCCAGCCCAAAAACAGATGCATCCCAAACCCAGTCCAGCCAGCACTTATTTTTTTTAAAATAAACGGGCGGGTATGGGCAACCTGTAGCCTTACTCGTCACCCACCTATTTATTGATATACGCATATATACCCGCCCATACCCGTTTATTTTCTTTAAATAACAGGTATGGGTTGACCTGTTTAATCACGGGTCGGGCAGGTATGGGTGGGTGTATGGGTTATTAGGTAAATTGCACAATCCTAATTCAAATTGTTGAATATAATTTTTTAGCCAATTTTAATTTCTGTATTAAAAAAATAAGATTTTCAAAGCTTATTTTATTTTAATTTTATTTTATTAATAATTAAAAAAATTCAAATATTCAAGATAAGCAGCATAACCTGGGCTGAATTTTTTTTTTGAACTTATTCAAGTAATTTAAATAAATTTAAAGTATTTTTTTTCAAAACTCCTAAATTTAATTTTAAAATTTTCAAACATAATTATGATATGCAGGCGAGACTCTAGTAAGGGGTCATTTCGAGGAGCGACTAGTGCGATCCTTTCCATGTGTCATCGACAGTTTGCCTTTCCTCCCTTCTTTTCTGGGCCGTTTAATTAGCATCCATCCTTTTTACTTTCCTTTTCCTTCTCTATTTCAAAATACACGTGTAGTAATACTTTAACAGCAAAAGTTATTAAATGATTTAACTTACAACAATTCTTTTTATCACAAACCATAATTTTCCATAATTTTGTTGAGTTGTTCAGAAAAAATAACTTATACCGAGACACCTTTGAAATGGAAACATTACTCTCACTCTTCCTCATCGCACATCCCTTACTCCCTCCAATCACAACCCGCCATGTCAGATCCCTATCCTGCGATCTCCGCCGTCACATCTAACAACCTCAACAAGCGTCCGATGATCTGTTTTCATTTTCGTCCCTCACAGTGGGCCCCACTATGTCGTGTCTGTGACTGTGAAGCCCTCCATTCTCTCTCTCTCTCTCCCCCCATAAAACCACCCCACTTTACATCCATTCTTCTTCATTCTCACTTCCTCCCTCCTCTTCCTCTGCGTCGTTCTTGTTTTCTTGTTTTTGTATGTGTTTCTTTCTGAAAACTGAGAAACTGAAAGCATGTGTGGAGGTGCTATCATCTCCGGCTTCGTCCCTCAGAAACTTAGTCTGAGGTCGACAGCTGACAACCTCGGGCCGGACTTCGAAACCTTCGCCGACCTCCTAGGTTTCTATCCCACCGGTCCTTCTTCCAAACACCAGAAACCAGCTGCTTCCCTCGATGATCATAAACTCCTTCCGATTCCAAACACCCCAGGTAATTCTTCTTTGTTTCTTCCAAAAGTAACACTTTAAATTCTTTCTCAATATTTCAAGTTTTATACAAGTATGTATTTTTTAGTGGCATAGTGCTCCATTTTTTGGTTTTTAATACAGCTAATTCCAGGCTATTTTGTTAATAGATCTGTTTGTTTATATATAAGCTTACTTTTTTCCCCTCAATCTGGGTTCAAAACCTGAGATTTCTGCCGATATATTTTTTCTGGGTATTTCAATAATTTTCTTTCAGTCGGTGGCTGATTTCATGAGTGCCTTTGTACATTTTCTGTGAATCTAGAGAGAGAAAGAGAGGGGCTTCCTTTCTTTCTCTCTCTCTAAAGTGAATAAAACTGACAAAATAAGAAAAAGAAAATTATGAGGTCTGAACAGAAAAAGGATTAAATCTCAGTTACTATTCAGGAATATGACAGGAGAGAGCCGACGACCAAGAGACGTGCTTTTTCTTTTCCTTTCTTCGGTTGGGCTCTCTTATTCAGTATTCACGTTGATCCTGTTCATTAAAAAGAAATCCATGGAAGGAAAAAAAGAAAAAAAAGTAGATATCTCTTTTGAAAATTTAAGCGAAGAATCTGCACTTGATATCCGCAATCAATTCTTAGAGATATAATTATGATTCATGAGGTGAAAAATCCCACTGCATGTACAGTCTCTGAGACGATATAGCCATCATCAGCTTTAAAGATAAGATTTTGTTTGTTACCTCATATTAGATAACCTTTTTTCCTTTTCTGGACTACCTGAAGCAGTGACATGTGAGAATAATAACAAAACTAACAATAATGACGACGACAACAACAAAACGTCGGAGAAGAAAAGCCGAGGAAGGACTCGCAAGAACATTTACAGAGGAATCCGGCAACGGCCGTGGGGCAAGTGGGCCGCCGAGATAAGGGACCCGCACAAGGGCGTCCGAGTCTGGCTCGGCACCTTCAACACTGCCGAAGAAGCTGCCAGAGCCTACGACCAAGCCGCCAAGCGCATCCGTGGTGACAAAGCCAAGCTTAACTTCCCGCCGGCTCCTCCTCCGTCGGCTCCCGCGGAACCGCCCCAGAAGAAGCAGTGCCTCGTCGTCCCCGAGCCAAGCCTCCCCGGCCACAACGACGCCGTTCAGCTGAGCCAACAAATCTCAGGCCTCGGATCCTTCCTGGGTCTGGACGACGACGAAAACAATACTACTATTGATGTTTCGCAGCCGATCGGCGGCGGCGGCATGCTGTCTGAGTGGGACCCGATGGACGATCTCTGGATGCTGAACGACGTTGTCATGCATCATCTGAACCATAACGGTCACTACTAGAAGGATCAGAGCTAAGAGAGAGTTTCCAATGAGTGAGCAGTAATTAAGTAATAGGAGAGTAAGCTTGAAGAAAACTTGAAATGGATCAGTGACGATATCTATGTATGAAACTACGTCGTTTATGCATGCGGCTTTATCGTTGGTGAACTCATATTGTAAGTAATCGAATGCTTGGTGTGTTGAATAGGGCGTGTGGGATGTTGCATGTTTGTATTTGTTTATTGTTATATATATTATGAAAATATATATATCTATATATGTATATATGTATATATAATATCCTCCATCGTACGGACAAATTATATAAGGTGGTTGTAATTATGAATATGTATATATATATATAATTAAAAGGTGGCTGTCGTATATGGAGATTGTAATTTGTGTGTGAAACTATAAGCTGGCGAGGTGCATGTATGAGATCTATTGAGGAAGATTGTTAGTTTAAATAAAGGGTACTTGGTTGATTGTGATTGAATATTTCATTGAGAGTATATAGTATTATTAAAATGAGGTTAGTGTGTGGGAGTGCGATTGTACAAGGGGAGCAAACGAGTGACCAAATAATGAATACTACTATATATCATTAATTAATCGAATATGTAAGCACAGAAAATGATGGGAATTTTTCATTACAGATCACGAAATGTATTGTATGCTCTTCGATCCACACGATGAGATGCAGAGTACAATAGATTTATGGCGTCCCTTAATTAATGAATAAGAAATAGGAGGACTCTCTTTTACTGTATTATAACCCAATGTTTGAATTCTCCTTAGAAATGTTAATATTTGATATTTGATCATGTCTTGAACATGATTATATATTTATATCTAATAAAAGATCACACAATGCACACAATTAAAAAAAAAAAACCGACTCCCACTTAATATCTTCGTTTTTTCTATCATTTTTATTGACGAAGTAATATGCTAGCGTGTATACATGCATGCATTTGATAGCCAGTCAAGTATTACTTTTCATTTTGAGTTAATATTGTGTTAATAACAAAATATGCAGAGATCTCATTTCCAGGTGATCATTCCTGGAAAGAAGATATTTGACAAAAAAATGTTATTTTATTTCAAGACTTGTGGTGATTATTCAAGTTCTAATGCCACTGCAACATTTTTGTCTTCTAACAACATTTAATTTTGTAACAGATTTGAAAGTTTTGCCTAATGTATAAATTTTTTAAGTGTTACAATTGATTACTACTTTAAGTAGCTTATATTTGATGACATTTGAAAAATATTGCCTAACATAGAATAGGTATTATTTTTAAATTGTTGAATTTCATTTTTCAAGTAGACAACATTATAACTGTTGCTTATACAATAATTTTTTTCACAATATTTGAAAATCGTTTTCTTTTTAATAGGCAACAATTACATAAGTTTTTAAATGTTTCTTTTCGCAATATTTAATAACCATTGCATATTGTATTTTTATATATAAAATCCATTTACCTTTTCACTTATCAACATTTCTTGTTATACTTTTATTAATTAAATAATTGATTGATTGATTTTTTTTAAATTATTAATTAGTTAAATTAAAAAAATTACTTAAAAATTATCCATATATAAAAAAATTTGCATTGAATGATATGATAGTAGCTTTTGGAAAGTGGTAAGAGTGATTTCTAAACTCCCTTGAGGTTTAAGGTTCGAAAACCAAATATGAATAGAAACTCTAAGTTTTTTTTTTATTTTATATCTACACAACAGTTCTTAACTATTGTCTATTACAATATGATAGGTAATATTTTAAAACTGTTTTAATAGGCTAGCATGAGAATTGTTGCTTATTTTTAAAATATAGTCAACAATTTTAAATATATATGTGGCTATAAAGTATGAAAATGGTTGCCTTTTGTAACAGATAATACTGGAATAGGTACGAGTTTAAAAATGTTGCCTTAAGTTTAATTTTGGCAACAGTTCTCATTCTTTTAGCAATAATTTTCAATTGTTGATATAAGACAACTGTTGTAGTGAGCGTTAAACTCGAAATTATTGTTTTTATACAAAGAAGGTTCGGTTTTCTACTTTTTGGCTATGGGTCATCCGTTTTTTTTTTTTTCTCACGTAAGGTGTTAATTACAATTTGTCCCCCAAAAAAAAAAGGTGTTCATGACAAGAAATGTGCAGGATCAAGATCGAGAACGCCGTAGCGGTATGATCTCTCTTTTGAGGATGCGATGGAAGTTTAGGAACTAGATCAATAAACGAAGCATTTATAAGACGTAGCTTGAAATTTTGGTTTATATGTTGAGGACAAAAAAAAAAATTACGAGCACATATGTATGTGTGTGTTTAAAAAGAGAATCCATCATAAAAAGCTAGTTAATTAGATAGAATATATAATCTCTTAGATTTTATAAGATCCGCTTTATAGGTTAGAATTCTCAAAGTGGGACTAAGTAACTTAGTAACCTTCATTCATGTAACATTCCAACACTTCACTCAATTTCTTTAATTAAAAAGCTTTATTAGTTGGTGACGCTTCAGTAAATTCTTCTTCATCGGTTGAAACTCCATTGGTTCTTCATTGGTTAAAATCCTTCAACATCATTTCATGGCGTTTCACTTTATTTTTCTTCCTCCATCAATGATGCTTTCACTAATTTTTTTACTTGGTTATTAGAACTTAGGAATCTTCACCGATCAAAACCCTTTAGCATCGGTATCTCTCTCAATAAAAGCATCAAATGTTATGAGCTTAAATTAAAAAAAAAGAGTTAATTCTAAAAGATTAGTCTTTTTTTAGTAGAAATTATAAATTTCTTTACAATTATATCGATGAACAAATTATACACACACACGTTGAAAAACTGTCAGAGAATTCATGCAGGGGGATGAGCTGATATTAACAGTATATCAATTTCTAGACAGGTATGACTAAATTAATAATAAATTTTTTTATGAATTTACTACATGATAATAATGATAAACACACGAATATGTTTTATGTCATTGATTTGGATCACTATATAGGGTAACTTTGAATGAGACTGTAAAGACAATGATGAAGCAGGAACCCCTTTATTGATACATGTTCCAAATTCTTCAAACGTCCTAACAAAATAATTATTTGACCAAAATTGTTTTCAAATATGTTACCAAAAAAAATTGTTTTCAAAGAAAGAAACCAAATTTGAAAACAAAACCCACCACCTTCAACGTGTGTGAAACATTGTTGACTATTTGCGTACTCGTACTTACCCATAGAACCATGTTTCATATTCTTGTTCTGGTTTGGTCTATTTCAATAGGTAGATTGAATTTTTCAAATTCATCACACGATCATGCATTGATTAAAGTGACATTAACCAACCAACATTAGTTAAATATAATTGAATAAAAGAGATTTTACTTTAGCTACAGCAGATAATGTTATATTATTGGTGACATTAGGAAGCTTCTTTCTTTATACTGGACCGTCATGGCTGGACGCCATGTGAAAGCCAGTGAATATGCAAATAATTTTGGTGACATTATTTTGTTTAAAATGAAATTGAGCTTAATAAATTAAATGTATAAGTGGAAGGATTCATAAATTTGAAACTTAAGATTTTGAGTTAAGATAAGTGGTGTCATCTACTCCTCTTTGTCTATTTATTTTCTTTTTCTATTTTTTTGATTTTGCTCCCACTCTCTAATTAGTGTATTATGACTTGAATTTATCCATAATGTGATATGTGATTATAAACAAAATATAAAATAACAAATAATTTTGAAGATGAACTTTTTCCCCCAAAGAAATAGTGAGAAACAAGAAGAATTCACGGAAGAAATAGTTGTTGAATAAGAGTTTGGAGCCTAAGAAGGGACTGCAAAAAATTATGACGTGTTAAGGAAATATCATTGTGTCTTTTGTCTTTCTTTCTTTTTTCCTTTTTGATATAAGAAACTTAAGAAATTAAAAGTGAACACAAAATTATTATTACGAACTATAATGGATCATGATACCATAAACTTGTACCTTTATTAATTTCGAAAGAGTTTAAGTTCTACAATTTAGGAGTCAATTTGGTTGATAGAACATATATAAGGGAATGGATTAGCACGATACAAATGGAATAGAATCAAATAGAATGTTAATTTCATGAATGTATTTGGTGATATTGAGAACACATGAAAAAGAAATTTATTTTTGGTTTTTTATAAATAAAAATAAAATAAATGTACTAAAATGCCCTCAAGTAGAGAGAGAGAGAGAGTGGGCAAAAAAGAGTGGAGAGGAGGGAGAATGACAAATAAGGACTTTTATAAAAACATTAATATCAAATTAGAATTTTTCAATACTGATGTTTTTAAATTTCAGTACTCCTTCTATCATGGTTTAGTATTAAATTTTTTAATTTGATATTAATATTCTTACAAGGTTCTTATTTGTCATTCTCCCTTCTTTTTTTTTCTTTACCAAGGAAAAAAATAAGAATGGAATATAATTTTTATAAATTTTTTTGGTTTCTCCCATGTGTACATATTTCTATTAAAGATCATCATATTATTCAAGCTATTACTGAGTACCAAATGTGAGCACTTCTTCTAATAGAAATTTAAACCTCAATTCATCACATTGAAAAAGACTAACTAGTTTCGCTAGATTAAGACCTGCTCGTGAAATTTTTGTAGTAATAATGAAGGTATGGGTTCATTATAGAAAAGACAAATTGAATGAATTAAACATCGCAATGGAATCCAGATTATCAGAAATCGAATCTGAAGGAAATGAACCAAATTAAACAACAGATTTATGTGAAACTATGATAAAAATGCAGCTAATATTTTGTATGAAAGTGGGTTTAAATTTCATATATCTATTGACATAACATAACATGAGAATTTTGTTGGTATCTGACTCGCGCGTGAGTAACTTATAGTAATAAACATTTTATCAGGATTGAGGACTGGTATAAGATTTAAACTCAAGTAAGTATTTGAAATTCAATTTATCTAAAATTTTTAATAATTAAACTAGCTTGAAGATTCAACTTACCATCATAACAAGGAATGGTTATATGTCGTGTAGACAACAAGCATAGCCATGATTAGAATTAGATAACAAAAATATATCAAACAGAGCATCAAAGTGTCATTGTTTTACAATATTTGCATAATGCATTTTAATTTTAAAAGTCCAAATTTCATATTCTCATTTTATCTCGTTAGTATTTTATTTTTTGAACTTACGGAAATAAAAACTTATTTTATTTTTAAAAATGTGGAATTAAATATAAACATTTTAACAAAATATTCTA